CCTCCACTCCTGAACTGCAAAGTCAATCACTCCCCTCCTTTTGCTACAAAACATCTACCTTTACATTTCCAACCCTCACAGTCAGTCCTGATAGCAATTATTCACTATTTGCACGAACTTTTTAAAACCCAAGTCTGTTGGGGATTATTTTATAGGCAGAGCTGTGGTTGATTTGCAAATGATTTGCCACGTAATCCACTGTCATTTGTCTGTACCACAGCCTTGGTGACAGAGTCATGGTGTGACTCTGTGGGATAAACAGTGTTCTGCAAAGTCAGTTTGAACTGCAAGATTGACGGTTCAAACTCACCAGGTGCTCTTTGGAAACGCTGCACACTGTCGCTATGAATCAGAACTGAACTCAACAGAACTTAACAACAACAAACATTGGCGACACAGTAGTTAAGCACTCATTTGCTAACCAAAAGGTTGGTGGTTTGAATCCACCAGCTGCTCCAGAGGGGAAAGATGTGGCTGTATGCTTCTATAATGATTAGAAGTTCTGTGAGGCAGTTCTACTCTGTCCTAAAAGATGGCAAGGAGTTGAAATTGACTTGGTAGCAATGTTGCTGTTGTTGGTTGTTGTAGTACTCCATTACATACATGAGTATTGTTGTTAAGTGCCATTGAGTTGGTTCTGACTCATGGTGACCCTGTATACTGTTTTGAGGAGCAGCTGGTGAATTTGAACTGCTGACTTTGCGATTCAAACAACCTGTGCCTTTGAGTCAGTTCCGACTCATAGTGACCCTGTGTAGGGTTTCCAAGGAGCAGCTGGTGAGTTTGAACCAACCTTGTGGTCCAGTGCTTTACCTCACAACACCCCACCAGAGCATGAGTACCTACCTCCTTTTGTTAACTCATCCACTGATGGACATTTAGATTGTTTCTACATTTTGGCTGTTGTGGATAGTATTACACTGAACATTGTTGTACTTGTTTCTGCCTTCAATCCTTTGAGGTGTATCCTCCCAGTGGGATTGTATGGTAGGAGCCTGCTCTTTAAGGCAGCCTGGATTGTCTTCCTGCACTTTCTGGGCTCCTTTCCTACTGCTCTACTGGTGCCTTCTGGGATCAACTCTCAAGTGAACTGTCTGGGGTGTCAGTACGGCTGAGTGGGCTAAGGCACCAGACTCAAGCTTACTCAGCTTCCAAGTGAACTGTCTGCACTTGAATCTTCGTCTTGGGAGAGCCCAGACTAGGACACCTGGTCAGTAGGACAGAAAGTGTTCCCTTAGTGGGCGCTGGATAGATGGCATCTGATCACCTGTCAGAACCTTGGTCTATGGCCTCTTTTCCTATCCAGCCCTGGCTAACTCATGGGCTTCAGGTCAACTCCAGTCCTGCCTTGGCTCACCCTTGCCTTAGCCTCCAAGTCTCCTTCCTCTGGCCTCCGTCTCCCTCTGCACACACAGGGTCACAGGGTGATTTGCTGTCTGAGTCAGGCCTGGTTCTTTGGGACACAAGTCCAAGGAGCTAGCTGAGGGAGGATGAAGAGCTGGTGACCACAGGGAGCTGTTCCCAACATTCACAGTGATGGCATCATTAGAGGATTAAAGTGGGCGTATGCTGTAACAGGTGACCGATACTGTCAGAACAGGTGATACCCAAATCATTGTCTATAAAAGTGTTGTGCAGCATTTCAGCTGAGATTTATTTTTTATAAAAAACATCTCTGTAGTTATAGCAACAAAAACATTTTTCATAAACTTACATGTATCAGTATGTAATCTAAATGATAATCTAAATGACAAGGCGAAAACTCAGTGCTGATTCACTTTTGGAAACAAAGTAGTTTGAATCACAAGAGCAGTGGTTCAAGCTTTGGTTACTCCTCGGAAACCCTGTACAAGGTTGCTATGGGTCAGAAGTGACTTGACGGCCCTTAACAACAATAACAACAGCAGCAGCAATGCACTCGTCTGAGCTGTCACTCTTACCTAATTCCAGTGATCACATGATTATGTCTGCACATGCTACAAGCACACACTGTTGTTTTCTTTGTTACTGATGTTTTTATAGTTGATGATTTTGTCAAGTTTCTAGTATTTTAGCTACCACATTGTGGTAATTAGTATTTGCGAACCTATGTCAATAACTTTTTTTTTGGTTAGCTATATTTATGAATCACCTTTTATTTAATCAGCAAGATTGAATTAAAAAAAAATAGTCCTTTGTGCTCACTTTGGCATCACATGCACTAAAATTAGAAGAGACAGAGAAAATTAGAATGGACCCTGCACAAAGGTGACACACAAATTTGGGAACTATGTCATATTAAGAAACAAACAAACAAGAGAATCCTTTACATTTACCTTTAAAAATAACTCAATAATTTGATCTTTCTCATTTAGTACTATATTTGTCACTATTTCAATAGTACAGAGCCATATGCCACATATCACTATTAAAATCACTCAGACAATGAAAAATACATTGTGTACTAGAGGAACTATATGTATATGGAAGGTCATATTTGAGGTTGTCAATAACTTTTTGAAGAATGAAATCGTAATTAAAGGAAAAGAAGGAGAGAAATTTGAAAAGGGGCCTTTGGGTCATTACCACCTCAGCGGCCTTATGCACAATTGTCTGAGTCCACCGCTGCTGCCACTGTGCCGCTCCATCTTGTTGGGGGTCTTCCTCCTTTTCGCTGACCCTCACTTTACCAAGCATGATGTCCTTTTCTAGGGACTGGTCCCTCTTGATAATATGTCCAAAGTATAAGAGGTGAACATTCTGGCTGTACTTTTCCTAACACAGATTTGTTTGTTCTTCTTAGGGTCCATGGTACTTTATTAACAATGTAACTAATAATGTTTCAATTCAATGTAGAAAGATTTCACGAGACGATTTTGTTGTTAATATTCATATAATGGGGAGTGCAGTGGTTCTGTACAATAAACATTCCACTGTGGGTCACGAGGTTGGTGATTTGAGCCTGCTTGCCACACTACCGGAAAAAGTTGAGGCTTTCTGCTCCTACAAAGATGTCCACTCTCGGAAACCCTACACAGGGTTGACGGCACTTACCAACAACAGCAAATGACATAAAAGCAATGAACAACTCTGTTGATCACATATGAGTACGTGATTAAAATTACTAACAGACAATACTGAGGATTCTGCAGGGTGGAGCGACACCATATTTACAGACACCACTGAGCCAGAGTCCCAGTTATCAGCTCAGTCCATCGAGAGCCAAGGTCATGGCCCATCTGGCAATAGAGAGAGCGGAGCAAGGCCATGCAAGATGCCTATCGGAAAGGAGCAGAGGGCATGTGTGGTGCACTTGGGGCCAGCAGGGTGTGGCTGGCTGGGCTTCAGCCTGCTTTCTGTTCCTCTCCACGCAAGAGACGCAGCAAAGAAGTGAGTGGAGGAGACGCCGAGGGCCTGCACCAAGCTGCTTTTGCCCCTCTGTGGACACAGCTGTTATATTCATTAACAACACTTGCTGTGACACATTGGTATGTGTCTGGTCCCAGGGAGGGCAAGTGAGGACTAGGGGTCCGAGACCTCTGGAAAGGGAAGTAGGGGTTCCCAGGGCTGCGCTGAGGCTTGAGACCAGCACTTCTGAGCCCAGAGCTAGGTCAGGATCCCTCTCTGTTTTTCTGTCCGCACCTCTCGTAGCAGGAGCTGGGAGGCTCCCGGTGGCCTCTCCTCTGTGGCTTTGGGAAGACCTCACCATCTCCCCTTGGAGGCTCATCTAAGAGAGGATAGGGAACAGGCCCCAAATAGTGCAGGAAGAGGGTGTGTGGTGGATTATTAACCAGCTTGGAACTCGGGATGTGCACCCATTGGTCTCTTCCCCTGTCAGGCCAGGGCCGTCACCAGGGGGAGGAGGCTGCCTTAACGTGTGTCCTAGAGCACACCCGGTATCTGACCCTGTGTCTCGTACCACCACCCCTTCCAAGAGCCGGGATGGTGAAGCCTGGTCAGAGGTTCTGGTTGCTCTGTGTCCTGTTGCTGCCCCAGGTAAGTCCTAGGAACCTGTTGGCTGCTCGCCACTCTCTGGGTACATGGACAGGAAACCCATCACTTAGCACACAGTGAGAACATCTTGGGTCCTGGAGGAGCCTGCATAACTAAACAGAAGTTGGGGGCCGGGCTGGTCTATGGGTAGTGGTGGCTCCTAGTCCCCCGGAGAGGGTGGGGGAAAGGTCATGGCTGCCTCCCCGACTTCTGATTCTCTGGGCTATGGGGTTGAACCGGACCATGGAAGACAGGGAGGAGCAGAGAGTTAGCTGAAATGGGCTTAGAGAGGCCTCATCCCTAGTATGGGAGTCATCAAGCCCTGGGGTTGCAGGAGGATCTGAGAGACAGATGCAGCACAAGAGGTGCGGGCTGAGGACTGAGTGCCCTGGCAGTCATGAGAAGGCATGTCGCTTCTCAGGTGTCATTGAGGGTGGATGGTGGCTGAGGATTGGAGCAGGTGTGGGCAGGAGCATTCCTGCATTCAGGGTCTCTGAGAAGGAGCCAGCGGGGCCTCTGGGCATAGCTGTGCAGCTCAGGGTCTGAAGCCTCTGGTGGATTTAGCGCCAACAGAGCTTCCCACAGCAGGCCCTGAGAGCCAGCCTCAGCCCCCTGTCTCCCCCTGGCATCCTCATTGCTCTCCAGCACCCTGGTACAGCCTCCATCTTCCCCTTTTGCTTCCACTGTACATCTTTTGAGGTCCCCTCTTCCCCACTGCTCTAGGCCCCCTTCCCTCCCATCTTAGGCAAGGCCTGCCCCTGTCCCCGGCCAGCTAGCCGGCTCTCTCTGCCCTCCTTGGGACATCCTGGGTGTCCATCCCAGGCAGTCCTGCAGGCCCGGTGACATTGTTTGTTCCTCAGGCTCAGGCACAACCGTACACCCCCATCCACAAGGCTGGCCAATGTGCCTTCTACGACGAGTGCGGGAAGAATCCTGAGTTGTCGGGGAGTGTGATCCCACTGTCCAATGTCTCCTGCCTGTCAAACACACCTGCCAAACCCGTCACGGGCCTGCACCTGACACTCCTGCGGCGCATCTGCCCCCGCCTCTACAAGGGCCCCACCACCACCTATGCCTGCTGCTCCTTAAAGCAGCTGGTGGCTCTAGAGATAAGCATGGCGGTCACCAAGGCTCTCCTCACTCGCTGTCCCGCTTGCTCCGACAACTTTGTCAGTCTGCACTGCCAGAACACTTGCAGCCCCGACCAGAGCCTCTTCATCAACGTGACGCGCATCTACCCACGGGGCGACGGGCAGCTGCCGGCAGTGCTGGCCTACCAGGCCTTCTACCAGCGAAGCTTTGCCGAGGCCGTCTATGAATCGTGTAGCCGTGTGCGCATTCCTGCGGCGGCCACCTTGGCTGTGGGCAGCATGTGCGGTGTGTATGGCTCTGCTCTCTGTAACGCCCAGCGCTGGCTCAACTTCCAAGGCGACACCAGCAACGGCCTGGCCCCGCTGGACATTGCCTTCCACCTCTTGAACCCCAGCCAGGCCCCTGGGGATGGGATTGAGCTTCTCAACTCGGAGGTCGTGAGCTGCAATGTTTCCCAGGAGGATGGGGCGGCTGCATGCTCCTGCCAGGACTGCGCCGCATCCTGTCCTGCCATAGTACATCCACAGCCTCTGGACTCCACCTTCCGCTTAGGCCAGATGGCCTGGGACCTGGCCCTGGTGACTATCCTCTGCTCCCTCTTTGCCGTCCTTGTGGTCTTCCTCGTGCTCCCCCTCTTGGTCCACCGCAGGGCCAAGGCCAAGGCCAAGGCCAAAGAAAAGGCAGAAGTCCCTGCTGTGCACATAAGCTTCTTGGACCGGATCAGCCTCCGTACTCACACTCTCCTGGGCCAGTTATTCCAGGCCTGGGGCACATGGGTGGCCTCGTGGCCACTCACAGTCCTGGGGGTGTCCACTGTAGTGGTGGTGCTTCTGTCGGCGGGTCTGGCCTTCATGGAGCTCACCACGGACCCTGTGGAGCTGTGGTCAGCCCCGAACAACCGGGCCCGGCGGGAGAAGGAGTTCCACGACCAGCATTTTGGCCCTTTCTTTCGCACCAACCAGGTGATCCTGACCGCCCCTGGTCGGGCCAGCTATGGCTATAACTCCCTGATGCTGGGTCCCAAAAACTTCAGCGGGGTCCTGGCACCCGACCTGCTGCTACAGCTGCTGGAACTGCAGGAAAGGCTGCGGCGGTTGCAGGTGTGGTCCCCTGAAGAGGGGCGAAACATCTCGCTCCAAGACGTCTGTTACGCCCCGCTCAACCCGCACAACGCCAGCCTGGAAGACTGCTGTGTGAACAGCCTGTTGCAGTACTTCCAGAACAACCGCACTCGTTTTCTGCTCACCGCCAACCAGACTCTCCTGGGACAGACGGCCGAAGTAGGCTGGAGGGATCATTTTCTCTACTGTGTCAAGTGAGTTCCTGCGTGGTAAAGCTCAGCTAGGGAGCTCAGGGGGTCTCTCAGTGGGCGCTGCAATACGCCTCATCTTCCCTGGTGCCTCCTCCAACCCTCTCTCCCTCCTTTCATCAATTCGCCCTTATTACAGCACACTCTTGGGGTCCTGGCATAGCGCTGAGGGACAAAGCACTGGACCACAAGGTCGGTTTGAATCACAAGGTTGGTGGTTCACACTCACCAGCCACTCCTTGGAAACTCTACACAGGGTCACCATGAGTCAGAACAAACTTGAAGATGGCACTTAGCGATAACAACACACTCTGAGGGGCCATTTTCCTTCTGCTCCGCCCACTTCCGGTTGTGGGGACCGCCCCCCTCCCCCCCCCCCCAATCCCACGTCTTTCTGTTTCAATCTTCTGAGAGGAGTCTGGGTCTGGTTTGCTTGTTTGTTTTGCTCTATGGTGCTTATTGTGGGGTACCAGAGCTTGAGGGGTTCACACTGTGCTGTTGTGGGAATGGAAAAGACAGGATTGCGGCCCCAGTCCTTTTGCACTGGTCTGGCTGGGTGTGCCTAGCACGGCGTGGTCCACACACTCACGTAGTTCAGGTAGCCGCACACACCTCTGCTGTGGCACCAATGTGAAGCAAAGTGCAGGGTGTTCTGAGGGGGCAGTGGGGGGTGCGCTTCAGGCTCTTTGGCATTGAAATGAAGCAGTGGTCATCACGTAGTTTTGGTCCCAAGGTCTCATTCCTCTCTTAAATATTAATAAGTCCCCCAGAGAGCTTCTGTTAATGTGGGTTATATCGCTCCACATTTTGGAGTCATTAGAAATTAAAACAGAGAAATTTAAAATACAGATATTAATTCTTTAAAAGAAAAAATATTCAATAAACCTTTTATATGGCGACATAGCATTTTTAAAAAAAAACATTTTCCAAAACAAAAAAAAGAACACTGAGAAGTGTGCGGGGGTTTTACATTTTTTGCAAATCTCTAATGTCTGGTTTACGATAAGACAGCTAGATTTTCATAACTAATTGTACACATTCAATTTGTTGCAACATATTAGTTGAAGTATGTTGTTGTTAAGTCCTGTCGAGTCGGATCATAGGGACCATTTATAGGGTTTCCAAGGCTGTAAGTTTCCTTGGAAGCTGAAAGCCTCACCTTTCTCCTTCAGAGCGGCTGGTGGGCTTGAAGCGCAGACCTTGGGGTTCGCAGTACAGTGCTTATCGTATAGCGTCACCATGCTCCCAGTTGAAGTATACTGAATATTTTTATAACTTTTATATATAATGTGACTATTCTTCTCTGATGCTATACCAAAAGTCAACAGATGGTCTTTTCTTAAGTGCCAGTTGCGAAGGTCAGGGTGTGGCTAGTCTGTAATATGTCTCCATCAGGGACTTTAGGGCTCATGGTTCTAGACTTACATCTGCTCCTCCCCACAACTCCTGCACCACAGTATGCCTGTTTTGATTTTGTATTCTCACAGCTTTCTGAGTGCTTTGTTACCCTCATTCATAGACAAGAAAGCAAAGGCTCAGAACAGCCAGTGAGCTAGCTGCTTGAGGGCCTAGAGCAAGTAGGTACATTGCAGTTCCTCCCAGCTGGCCATCTTCCTGTTTATCTTCCTGCTGCCTCTTCATACCAACATACTTTGTGGAAAGTGCTTGTGGTAGGCTAGCCATAGAAACGTTTTCCCACCACTAATGGTGATGCTGTCATCATCGGGCTCTGGGACCCAGGGGCCCCGGGATGGAGGAGGAGGCCCAGGGTGCAATATGTGGGATTTTCAGTTCAAATCGTAGCCCCCAGCCCCCATAGAACATTACGAGTATTGCCCAGTGTGCTTGCTTCAGCAGGAAGTGAGAATAACAGGTACGCTTGCGTTGTTGGATGGCGACAACTCACAGCACTGACCTGCTGTACAGACGGAGCCCTCGAAAGCTTGCTCAGCCCCCCTTGTTTCCGTTTCTCGGTGCTGCTGTAGCAGGTGTATCATGAGTAGGGGCCTTGCCAGCAGAATTCAGGGCTCTAGGGGTAGGCTCTCTCTGCTGTGGGAGAAAAATCTTTGTCCCAATTTCTCTAACTCCAAGAGTCCTCAGATCCTTTGACATCTCTTTTCCACTCTGGGCTTGTTGTTGTTAAATGCCATCGAGTTGGTTCCGACTCATAGCAATCCTGACAGGGTTTCTGAGGAGCGGCTGGTGAGTTTGAACCTCTGACCTTGCAGTCCAGCGCTGTAGTGCCACACCTTTTTATGTCTCAAAAGTGATTAGGGTTAAGATACAGCCTACACTGATAGTACTTCACTAACAAACCCTAAATTGGATCTTGTCCAGGAACAAAGTCACATGTGTTAGATGTCCAGAGGGTATTTTGAGGGAACACAACCAGAACACCACTTCACTTACTGGGGATTTTTAGGAAACTGAGTTTGTAAAACTGCCTCCAAGTTTAAAACTATTACCAAGCCCCTAGACCGGGTGCCCCAGGTCCTCCTGTTTGCTGGGTGAAGCAGGTGCTGATGGGAGGGCCCTGGAGCAGTCCAAACAGCATCCTTTCCCCTGTTCCCCACAGTGCTCCACTCACATTCAAAGATGGCACATCCTTGGGCCTAAGCTGCATGGCCGACTACGGAGCCCCCATTTTCCCTTTCCTCGCAGTGGGGGGATACAAAGGTAAGATGACAGCCCCAGAGGAAGCCCGTAAGGAGCAGGGACCCTGATCTGGCAGGTGGGGGATGTGATAGCCCCTGCTGCCTTAGATGGCCTGCCTGTCTCTGTGTCTCCATTGTCTGATGCTCTTGCTCTGCGCCTGAGTTCACAGGTCTTGCCTTTGGCTGGGACAATAGAGGAGTGGGTGGGAAGGCTGAAACTCCCAAGAGGCAGCTGAGGGGTGAGAGGGGATGGAGGGCTGAGCCTGCGGAAGCTCCTTGCAGAGTGTGTCTTTCCTTTCCCAGGTAAGGACTACTCTGAGGCCGAGGCCCTGATCATGACCTTCTCCCTCAACAACTACCCAAGTGGGGACCCCCGGCTGGCCCAGGCCAAGCTCTGGGAGTCAGGCTTCTTGGAGGAGATGCGAGCCTTCCAGCGGCAGATGGCTGGCACGTTCCAGGTCACCTTCATGGCTGAGGTGAGCTCAGACCCTGTGACTTGGAGGTGCATTCCAGGCAGCCTTGACTGGGTTCCTTTGCCTGGTCCTGTCCTCATCACCTCCTGGGTGACCCTGGGCAAGTGCCTGCATTGCCTTTAGTCCCGGTTACCAAGTATGATTGATTAGGACAGTCCTGTTCTCGAAGGGTTGCTCTGGGGCTCACAGCTGGTTTCCAGGTACAAGTGCATGAACAGCAGTTGTTGTTGTTGTTAGGTGCCAACGATTCGGTACCGACTCATAGTGACACTAAGCACAATAGAACGAAACACTGCCCAGTCCTGGGCCAACCTCACAATTGTTGCCACGCTTCAGCCCACTGATGCTGCCACTTTGCCAATCCATCTCGCTGGGGCTCTTCCTCTTTTTCTCTGACCCTCCACCTTACCACACATGATATCCTTCTCCAGTGACTGGTCCCTCCTGACAATATGTTCAACCTTTGCTGTTGTAATGACCCCTCCCTGCCTCCCCTCAGCCCTCTGCCTCCTCCTGTGTCCCCTCCCACCCATGGAAGACATGAACTCTATGTGAAGGCTTGCTGGCCCCTGGCAGGATCAACCAATTACGTTCTGGTTGTGTGTCCATAGCGCTCCCTGGAAGATGAGATCAACCGCACCACAGGGGAGGACTTGCCGATCTTTGCCATCAGTTACATCGTCATCTTCTTGTACATCACCCTGGCACTGGGCAGCTACTCCAGCAGGCACCGAGTGCTGGTAAGCAGCAGCTGGGCTGGGCGGATGGCCTCTTGTCCATGCTGGGAGAGCAGGTGCCCCTTGGGCCCTGGCAGTCCTTCTTGGGTTCTGAACTTTCATAGCCAGAGCACCTCAAGACAGAGCAAAGTGGGCACACTCACCCAAAGTCAGAGTGTCCCCCCGACTGTCTCTTTGTGGTGCTGTTTTAAAAGGTCAAGTGATGTTATCATTCTGCCACTTACCACTTGTTTACATGCAAATAATGACATCTATTGTTTATTACAGTGGGACCCAAAGGGGGATGAGCTCAGCTTGACCTTGTGGTGCGGTGGGAGGCCAGGCCTGGAAAGGCACTGAGTGATGGGAAGAACTCAGGCCCTGGTGGGAGACCCTGGTTCACAGCTGGGCACATAAAGAGACTGCCTGCTGCTATCTCTTCCTCTTGCCCAGGAGGGTGGGGTGTCCCCGTCCCCTCCCCCCCCGCCGGTCCCTGACCTGGACAATCAAACTGAGCCTGGGTTTCCATGCAGGTGGACGCTAAGGCCACACTGGGCCTAGGTGGGATCATGGTGGTGCTGGGAGCAGTTATGGCCTCCATGGGCTTCTTCTCCTACTTGGGTGTCCCGTCCTCTCTGATCATCATCCAAGTCGTGCCTTTCTTGGTCCTTGCTGTGGGCGCTGACAACCTCTTCATCTTCATTCTCGAGTACCAGGTAAGAAAGGTCTCCTCAGTGTGAGTCAGTTTGCTGTACACTCCTCGAGACTGTGCCTTTGCCCCAACTCACGTGGATAGCACCTACAGAAAGCAGTGAACCCTTGGGTGGCAGGAACGGTTAATACACATGGGTTCATCATGAATTGCCTTCAACTGAATGGCAACTAGCTTTCATAGAAGCAGTATTTGGTGTCTAACACGAGAACTTTTATCACATGGTAGCTGCACACAGTGTCTTAGCTTTTTCACATCGCTGGTTACAGGTGCCTCCAGGTAACTTGGGTGTGCTCGGTCCACTCTAGATGGACATTCAGGTTCCACTCATGTGCTGGAGTAGTGACACTGTGACACCCAGAGGTGCTTTGTCCAGCACATTCTGGGCCATCTGCATGGTGGATGACAGCAGTGCCAAATGCCTACCAGGAAGGCCAAAGGGCAGTCTCCTTGCCCCTTGTGGGGTCTCTGGGCGGTCGCTGTTCCTGGCCTTCCTGTTGGCCTGGGTGGGACCATGCCCTTGGCTGGCTCTGGACTCTGTCCCTGTTGTTCCCACACAGAGGCAGCCGAGGCAGCCGGGGGAGCAGCGGGAGGAACACATCGGCCGCGTCCTTGGTCTTGTGGCTCCCAGCATGCTACTGTGCAGTGTGTCTGAGGCCATCTGCTTCTTCTTGGGTAAGACTTGGTTCTTGTCCCTGGGCTGGGTCTGCAGCTCATTGGAGGGCTCAAGTGGGGCCGATCCTTGTCTATTCTACCTGGGACTGGGTGACCTGACAGCCCTCTGCCCTCACAGGGGCGCTGACTCTCATGCCAGCCGTGCGGACGTTTGCCCTGACCTCTGGCCTGGCGGTGGTGCTGGACTTTCTGCTGCAGATGTCAGCCTTCGTAGCCCTGCTTTCTCTGGACAGCAGGAGGCAGGAGGTGCGGCCGGGGCTCAGGCCTCCTCTCTGCTGGGGAACACCTGTATGGGAGATGGGTAGCAGGAGCATTATGTTGGGAGGAAATATTTGGGTCTTTTATTCAGTTCCTCTAGAACTGTGATGTTGTGTTGGTCATTTTTTAAAAGTACAATAGAACCTCCTAGAGTGTATGAAGTCAGCTAACCAAACTATAAGTGAGGAGGTGCTGGGGGCCGGGGCGGGGGGGAGGAGGGGGCTATTTGTTCTGTGACAGTGGACAATTCCGAGATACTTTAGCGAGCTAGAGTGAAAACAAAGGAGAACCGTGCTCGGGGCTGTTCTGCTCTGCACCATCCTGAGGGGCTGCCTCCCCCAGGCCTCCCACCTGGATGTCTGCTGCTGCCTCAGAGCCCAGCAACTTCCCCCGCCCAGTCCCAAGGAGGGGCTCCTGCTCCGCTTCTTCCGCCAAGTTTACGCACCATTCCTGCTGCACCGAGTCACCCGAGGTGTTGTGGTAAGTTGGGAGGCCTGGCCACTTGGGACATTTGCTCAGCCTTGCACCTAGCTTTCTTGGTGTGAAGGTAGGGCTTGGAGAGGTGGGAATTACCCAGCTGAGGCTAATGGTAACAGCTGGGATGAAGACTGTCTGATACCACGTGCTTCCCGCCCGCCCACCTGGAGGGCAGGGGGAGGAAGGGAGCAGGGCAGCAGCCTCTCCCTTCCTCTCCTCAGATCTTCCTGTTCCTGGCCCTCTTCGGAGTCAGTCTCTACTTCATGTGCCACATCAGCGTGGGCCTTGATCAGGAGCTGGCCTTGCCCAAGGTGAGGTCCTCACATCGGGGTGCTGGGTGGCAGCAGTTCCTAGGAGGATGGGGAGAGGCCATGCCAGGTGGGAAGAGTGCAGGTCCTAAAGACCAGTGTCAGGTCAAAGGCAAGAGGTAGACTAGGTAGGTAGAACAAGTCTGAGGATGGCTTGGATGCCCTGGGCATCCAACTACCAGTCACAGGATGAAGAGAAAGCAGCCTCATTCACATACGGCCCATCGGCCCATGTCTAAGCCATGCTAGGCTAGGTGGCCAGCACTCTGAGCAGAGGGGCTGGATGAGCTTCTCAGAGGCTACAATGAGGGTGGGTAGGTGGAGCAGAGGGCAGTGAGGATAGTCTGAATGAAAAATTGGGAGTCTTGGGGGACGGAGTCTTGCTGGAAGCTTAACTGTCAGACCAGGGCCTTGGGACTGCATCCTGACAGGTGTTGGGGCCCATGGGAGCAGCAGTTTGGGAAGACTACTGAATCAGCAAGTAGCAGGGTGGGCAGCTGCTCTGAGTAACCACGGCAGACCCCCACCGTGTGACTGGGTGTGCACCCAAGTGCTGCTCAGTGGCCATGGAAGCGGAGCGGAGCTGCCGAGCTGGAGAGAAGGAGCACTGGGTCCCAGGCGCTCGGCAGACATCTGGGAGGAGAGTCAGGGTGGTTTCAATGGGTCTGGTTCAATCCTTGAAGAGATCAGACACAGACATCAGAACACTTGCAGCATCCAGAGAGTCAGCCAAGTCTCAGGTGGAAAAGGGCAAGGTGTCTTGCAGGGCAGTAGTGTCTGGGGGCTTTCAAGAGCTGATGGGGGCCGAAGGCCAGCCCCCTGGGGGAAGGGTGTTATGTTAGCAGAGAGGCCAGGGGAAACACCAACCCCCATGGATGACCTGCGTGAGCGTAGGGAGGTCTGTCTGAGGATGCACAAAAGGGGGTACAGGCTGACTGGAGAGGGGAATGTGCCCAGACTAGGTGTCATAGGGAGATCAAGATGGCACACGTGTGTTCTTGTAGGCTGGAATGCGCAGCTCTGTGTTTGTACTTTTGTGAGTGTCCCTGCGTGTTCATGCCTGCGTGTATACCTGTGTGTGTGCCTGTGTGCATATCTGTGTGTATGCCTGAGTGTACATGCCTGCGTGTGCATGCCTGTGTGTGCACGCCTGTGTGTATGCCTGTGTGTGCATGTCTGTGTGTATGCCTGAGTGTGTATGCCTGCGTGTGCATGCCTGTGTGTATACCTGTGTGTGTGCCTGTGTGTGTGCCTGTGTGCATGCCTGCGTGTATACCTGTGTGTGTGCCTGTGTGTGTGCCTGTGTGCATGCCTGCGTGTATGCCTGTGTGTGTGCCTGTGTGCATATCTGTGTGTATGTCTGCGTGTGCATGCCTGTGTGTGCATGCCTGTGTGCACCTCTGGATGCCCCTGTGGGTGTGTATCCCTGTGAATGTGCACGTAGCAGAGAGCCCTGGGGGTAGGCCTGACCTACTGAGGCTCCCTGACCCTCCTGTGCCTTCCAGGACTCCTACCTGCTGGACTACTTCCTTTTTCTGAACCGTTACTTTGAAGTGGGCACCCCTGTCTACTTTGTCACCACTGCGGGCTATAACTTCTCCAGCGAGGCTGGAATGAATAGTGTCTGCTCCAGCGCAGGCTGTGACAGCTACTCTTTAACACAGAAGATCCAGTATGCCACAGAGTTCCCTGCGGAGTGAGTGACCCTCCACCCCACTCCCCCAGCCTGTGTCCTCTCTCACACAGAACCCCCCGAGAACCCTCCCTGCCCTGCCCAGCTGCCCAGCTGCTTGCCCGGTGCCTGGGGAAGGCCAAGTGGGAGCTTGGGCACTGAAGGAACATGTGTCTCACCTGGCTGGGCCCACCTGGCTCACTTCCTTTCCCGTGTTCCTTCTCTGCTCTCTCCCTCAGATCTTACCTGGCCATTCCAGCCTCTTCCTGGGTGGATGACTTCATCGACTGGCTGACCCCATCTTCTTGCTGCCGTCTCTATGGCTCTGACCCCAATAAGGATGAATTCTGTCCCTCGACAAGCAGTGAGCACAGGCCCTAGGGGGCTCTTGTCCACCTTAGCTTTTGGGGTGCAAGGAGTATCGGTTGGAAGGAGGGACTGACTGGGTTCCCTCATAGCCCCTGCCATGGGGTGGGGCAGAAGCCTGAGGGGGCACTTAAATGTGGGGGCCATGTCCAGACCCTTAGCTACCCCCATATGAACACTGGGCACCCTGACGGTGCGTGGCTGTGGTTGGGTGGTGTTTGGAGACCCCTGTACCCTCATAGCTGGACCAGCTCCATGAGTGGATGCAGGATCGCCCCCATAGGCTCTGCCCCCAAACTGTCTTCTTCAACAGCTGATGTTAAGTGCCGTCTGTTGGTTCTGATTCAGTGTCCCAGTATAGGGTTGCTGAGGAGTGGCTGGTGGGTTTGAATCACCAAGTTTGCAATTAGCAGTCCAGTGTTAATGGGTGTCCATGATTCCTAGGTCTGGAGCTGAAGGTGTTCTTCCAGATTATTGTCATTGTTGGGTGCCTCAAAGCAACCCCTTGTGACAGAGCAGAACTGCCTCAATGGGTTTTCTAGATTGTAATCTTTATGGAGAAGTCCTGGGGTGGCCTGTGGGTTAATGCGCTGGACTGCAAGGTCAGTTTGAACTGCAAGGTCGGTTTGAACTGAAAAGCTTACCAGCCGCTCTTTGGAAACCCTATATAAGGTCGCTATGAGTCAGAACTGACTTGGCGACACTTAACAACAACAACAACAATCTTTATGGAAGAAGACATTCAGTATACCTTGGACTGCCGGCAGAATGAACAGATCTGTGCTGGAAGATGTAAAGTTCTCCTTAGGAGCCAAGATGGCCAGGTTTTACCTCCTGTACTTCATTCGGACATGCTATCAGGAGTGACTGAGTCCTGGAGAACATCATGCTTGATAAAGTCGGGGGTCAGCAGAAAAGAGGAAGACCTTCCTCAGTGAGCTGGATGGACAAGTGGCTGCAACACCAGGCTTCTTGACGGCACAGGGCAGGCCTGGTCCCCTTCTGTTGTGCATGGGGCTGTGCTGTGTGGGAATCGACTCACCAGAGCCTGGCGACACCACGTCTCTATGGATGCGGATGGCCAAATCTGTCCTCTGCAGAACTGCTGGATAGGTTAGCAGCCAAGTGCTTAACAGCTGCATCATCAGGCAGTATTTTTCCCTGATTGTCATTGAGTGAGGTCCAGTTGGTTCTCACTAAGTGGCCTTGAACTGGGTTTCCGAGGAGCAGCTGGTGGGTTTGAATGCCGACTTTTTGGTCTGCAGTCCAGTGCTGACTCTGCTGCCCCTCTAGAATTAGCCCACGGCCTTGTGTTCTCTGGTGGTGCAGGTGCTAAGAGCTGGCCCTCAGAGTAGGGGACAAGGACTGGGTGGGCAGAGCTCCACACGGGGTCCTGCCCGGTGACCCAGCCTGCATCTCTACCCAGGCGCCTTGAATTGCACGAGAAACTGCATGAGCTTCACTCTGGGCCCCATCCGGCCCTCAGTGGAGCAGTTCCACAAGTACCTCCCGTGGTTCCTGAGCGACCCGCCCAACATCAAGTGTCCCAAAGGGTAAGCAGGGCTGGCTTTGTTTGGGTGGCCAGCTGGGGGGCTCCAGGTAGGGGCGGGGGACAGTGAAGCAGTTGGGAGGAGGTGTTCTCAGCTCTGACATTCTCCTCACAGGGGCCTGGCGGCTTACAGCACCTCTGTCAATATGAGCCAAGACGGTCAGATTGTGGGTGAGTGCTGCCTAGCCGGGAGTCCTGTGTGCATACTCTTCTCTCAACTCTTCTTCCTCCTTCTCTTGGGCTTCTCACTGGCCTACCTGGTCAGCCTGCACTTCATGGAATGCGTTCTGCGGCTGACCAGGATTTTGGAGCTGCCCAAACCCATAATGAGCACCAATTGCCCCTGAATATTAGCAGCGGGTCGCTCTGTCTGCCTGGTATAGCAGATATGGGAGGTGTCTCAGGCTGAGTGGCATGTCCAAGTTAACGCTAAGACCACACAGTAGCATGGTGGTTGCGTGTCAGGAGTAGGCCATGGTACCACGGTGCTGTGCACATAGGCCTCTGTGTGTGGCAGATGCTCTGATGGGCCGGTGCCGGCCAGTGGGCCTGGAGGGTTGTGACACTCTACCTGTTTGCTGAAATAATCCCTGTTTGGATTTCTTTTATAAAGAAACTCAGCAATCCACCCACCTGGCTAAACCATCCAGGTTCCCATTTCCCAGTCTCCTTTCCAGAATGCCTCAGTTGGTGGGTACAGAGGGAGCTGACTTGGGTGTGGAGGGCACAGATAGATCAGAAGCCGGAAGGCACCTCTGCCTCAGTCCTCTGAGGCGCCCATGAATGTGGGTCTGGGCCAGGGGCTCCCAAAGTGTGGCTTCTGGAACAGCAGCATGAGTGTCATCTGGAGATGAGTAGAAATGCAGGTTCTCAGGCTCCACTGAGACATCCTGACTTAGACCCTCTGGTGGGTCTGAACCAGCAGCCTGTGTCCGAACAGGACTGGTTCTGCTGGGCTGGGCTGGGCTGAGCACCGTCCTACTACTTTCCTACTCTAAGATTGTAGACGTTCAAGAACATTTCTTTCTTTTGATTTTCTCCACAATGAAAAGAGCTATCCCATTTCTTTCCCTGCTATACTTGCTCACTACAGGTAATTCACTGTTCTCTTTCTTGTACGGGGACCCAGCCCACAATCCCACAGCAATCCAGGGCAGCTGGTCTTTTTCTGTAGAAACATGCACATTGAAAAGTGATTCTGTTGAAGGAATTCTTACAATCCATTGTGTGTTTTGAAGCTACACAGAGGAGCACGGGGTCAGTGAGGGATCCATAGGAGGGCCTGGATTCTGGGCTTGCAATCTTTGGGCTCAGGGCAAAGTGAAATGCAAGACTTGGGTTCAAAATTATTAAGAATTTCAAGAGGGGTGGGTCATGCGCTGCCTGGGAAGTGGGATGTGATCCCAGGTTTTCTGAAGCAAGACCAGACTAGCTGAGGCTGAAGGTGTCCTGAAGCAAGAGCTGATCTTTGCCCTTCTCCCATCCCCATGGCCCTTGTCCTGCCCACCCAGCCTCCCGGTTCATGGCCTACCACATGCCCCTGAAGAACTCCCAGGAGTATACAGAAGCTCTGCGGGCAGCTCGAGCCCTAGCAGCTAACATCACTGCCAGCCTGCGGAAGGTCCCGGGGACGGACCCAACCTTTGAAGTCTTCCCTTACACGTGAGGCTCTGAGCAGCCGGGACCCAGGGGAGTCAGGGGCCACTTGCTAGAGCCTGGAGTTTTGGGGTGTAGCGTTTCTGGAAGGCCATGTGAAGGATTAGAATAGAAGGTCTGGGCTGCACTTGGGGTCTGCTGACTCTTCGGTCTCCTCATTTTAAAACAGAAGCACCCTGTCTTCCTTTTGGGGATCAGTTGACTAAAGCGTCTTGTCGACTACAGGATCACCTACGTGTTTTATGAGCAGTATCTGACCATTGTCCCTGAGGGGCTCTTCATGCTGAGTGTCTGCCTCCTGCCCACCTTCGTTGTCTGCTGCCTCCTGCTGGGCATGGACCTGCGCTCTGGGCTGCTCAACCTCTTCACCATCATCATGATTCTTGTGGACACCGTCGGCTTCATGGCACTTTGGGGCATCAGTTATAATGCATTGTCCCTCATCAACCTCGTCACGGTAACTCACCCTGAGTGGGCTGGCAGCCCAGGGACTCGGGGTAGAGGTAGCCCCTTGCCTCCTAGGAGCCTCCAGCTCCTGTTGGTCTCGTAGAAGACCTCAGTTCCCAGCCCCATGGCCCATGCCCCACACCAGTTTCCACAGCAGAGGCCTCTTTGCCTGCAGGCGGTGGGCATGTCGGTGGAGTTCGTGTCTCACATCACCCGCTCCTTTGCCATCTGCACCATGCCCACCAGACTGGAGAGGGCCAGGGAGGCGACCATTACCATGGGCAGTGCGGTGAGTGGGGTGGGGCCCTCCACACTGTCCATCGGGGTGCCCTAGGCCCAGCCTGACAGTCACCTGTCTGATGCCCAGGTCTTTGCTGGTGTGGCCATGACTAACCTGCCCGGCATACTGGTCCTGGGCCTTGCCAAGGCCCAGCTCGTTCAGATCTTCTTCTTTCGCCTCAACCTGCTCATCACCCTCCTGGGGCTGCTGCATGGCCTCGTCTTCCTTCCTGTAGTCCTCAGCTACCTGGGTGAGTACCTGCCCATTGGACGGTTCCAGGCCTCACCAGCCGGAGCCCACAGGCTCCCGCTATAGGCCACGGTGACTGAGAGGTGGTCACAGAGACAATGCGTGCATGCTCCCCGAAGCGCAGCCGCGCACTGAGTCCAAGTTAAAACACAGATGCCTACAGACCACTGCTCACCACCGCCCCACACTTATGTGTGTTTTTAACAAGAATGTGATCACACAGTACTTTGTGTTCTGAAAGCTGCTCTTTTTTCACTTACTATGTTGTGAGCATCTTTATCAACAGCTGTGGAGCTGAAACACTTAGAGGCTATGTAGAATTGCACTGCTATGCTTTTAAACTTTGAACCGTAACCTCAGTGAGAAACACATTTTACACTCAGGAGCTATGTGCATGGGCTGGTGGCACAGTGATTAAAGCACCATCTGCAAACCCAAAGGTCAGCATTTTAACCTCACTTGCCAGTCTGAAAGAGATGTGGGCAGTGTGCTTCCATAAAGACTGGAAATACCCTTGGGAACCCTATGGCCAGTTTGACTGTCTTTCAGGGTCACGGCGCGTCAGGATCGACTCAGCCAATAGCAGCAGGTTTATTTTTCACACATGATACACTGTGATATATTCTAGTCTCCTAATGGAGTTCAAATGGCAGTTCAAACTCACCAGCAGCTCCTTGGGAACTCTATGCAGGGTCGTTAGGAGTCAGAACCGACTTGATGGCTCGAAAAACAACAACAGTCTATTAATAGGACTCCTGGTGTGGTGTTATAGGATCAGCACTGGACCACAGGTTGGCAGTTCAAACCTACAAGCTGCTCCTTGGAAACCCTACATGGGGTCACGATAAGTCAGAACTCTCTCAGTGACACTCAACAACACCAACAACAAAGGCGATTAATAATTTTTAAATGATTCAGTCATGAGTGGCAGCTTGCAGTTTGAAAATGTCTTCCAACTGAATGTTTTTAAGTGCCGTCGAGTTGCTTCTGACTCACAGTGACCCTTTATAGAAGAAGTGGGAAACATCTGGGCGTGGGCCATGTAAGACCCATGAAATTATTTGGTCCAGCCTCATTTAGCAAGGCAACCGCAGTTCCAGCCATCACACTATTGTTGTTGTTGTTGTTGAGTGCCATTGAGTCAGTTCTGACTCCTAGCGACCCTGCCTAGAGTTTCCAAGGAGCGGCTGGTGAGTTTGAACCGCCAAGCTTTAGGTTAGCCTTCCAGTGCTTATCTTACAGTGCCACACCAGGACTCCCCACAGTGTGTTGTTGTTCTTGTTATGTGCCGTGGAGTTGGTTCCGACTCATAACGACCCTGTACAGGGTTTCCAAGGCTGTAAATCTTTACGGGAGCAGAAAGCCTCATCTTTCTCCTGCGGAGCGGAGCAGCTGGTAGTTTCAAACTGCTGACCTTGTGGTTCGCAGCCCGATTCATAACCACTACGCTACCAGAGCTCCTTTGGGTGGGAAATCAAAGGAGAACAAAGGGGATCTGTGCTCCTTACTCACCTTACTGAGTCAAGCCAACATGGCCAGATTTCAGGGACCTGGCTGGTCCCAGGCTGCAGCATGTGTTCTTTTTGGGTTTTCGACCTCCACAGTGTGTACTGGGGAGACTTGGCTCAGTAAAGGGAGCAGGAGCTCAGAACCCTGCGCATCCCCCACGCCCTGAGTCTGCTGTACAGAAGGAGGCACCGTGAACCCAGTGAGGAAGGCTGCTTGGGGACTGCACAGGGGATTCCTAGAAAGACTCTTGGCCTGGTAGGCTCAGGTGCTTTCAGAGTTTGCCCTGAATGAACATGCAGGGCAGACAGGTCGGGCGCCTGGCTCTGTGGCCCACTGTGGTTGGTGATTTTCCAGGCAGGGTGGGCAAGGGCTGGGATTGAGGTGCACAGAGGCCATGTGGTGCCCTCTCTGATGCCCTATTGTTTCCCCCCTGCACCACCCAGGGCCGAATGTCAACCCTGCTCTGGTGCTGAAACAGGAGATGGCCAAGGCAGCTGCTACAGTCAGGGCAGACTCCTGCTCAGTGCACCCTCCTGTGGCCCACACAAGCAGCTACGTCTACACCAACAAGAGCTTTGGAGAGGATGCCAAGAATCCCAACGGTGTGGACAGTTCTTTGCCCAGCAGCGGGCAGGTGCTCTGATAGAACCTGTGTTTGGTGGAGGCCGCTTATGGTTGGAAGGCCCTGAAAGCGAGGGCCTGTGGGTTTCTCCGTGGTGGGCCCTTGACCTGTCCTCCTTCTCAGTGCCTTTGAGAGGGCCCATAGCTCAGCCTACCCACCACTGTCTGTTCTGCACTGCCCACCCTCTGCATGGGAGCCTGCAGCCAGCCCCTGGTGACCCTCCCACTCCTATGGGGCAGAGGTTCTTGAATTTGGGAACAGACGGGTACTGAGGCATTCCTTCCAGATGTGACTTTCTCCTGGCTGTCTAATTCCTACCCAGTGGTTCCTTCCTTCAATGCTTGAAATCACAAGAGCAAAACTCCATTAGGTGCTAATACATTTTTAACATTTGTCAGTATTTCTGTGACCAAAGAGGACATGCCCCACCCCCAGTGTCTGCAGTAGGCCAGGGAGTGGCAAGGTGGGCCAGGGTGCAGCTGTAGGGGTAGCAGGTTGTGGTCCCCAGTGAATACTACACACACAGGTCTGTAATCTATGGTTTTTTTTTGTTGTTGTTTGTTTGTTTTTTGTGGGGAGTTCTCACCAACACACTCTGGTCACCTGGTCTCAACTCCAGCCAGGATGGACAGGAGGAAAATGGTAGGGTTCCTGGGGACTGAGGCTGAGACCACACAGATCACCCTGTTAAAAACCCCCACAAGCACAGGAATAGACAAGTTATCTAAGTAACAGAATATCTTCTGATAAAAGTTACACTTCAAATCAGGGAAAAGGACAGGCCATTCAACCAATGGTGTATTGCCAATTGGCTAAACATTTGGATAAAAATAAAGCTGTATCACACCATACAGAAAAAGAAAATTACTAATGGATTAAAAATCCCAAACCAAAAATCCAACTATTTAAGTATTAGACATTATGCTATATAATCTTAGGGTTGGAAAAGCTTCCTAACTACAAGATCCAGAAAAATGAGGCAAAGCCTACAGATTTGACTACACAAAAAGGTAAAACTTTTGTAAGAAGACAAACAAAAAGCACAAAGTCGAAAAACACATGATGGATTGGGAAAAAATGTTTGTAACATTTTTAACAGCACAGGATTAAAATCAAGAATACACAAAGAGGAGAAATAGTGGGGTAAATTACTGATCTAATCCTCTCTCATGGACTGAATTATCCTCCCCCAATACCTGCCTACCTGGCTAGGCCATGACCCAATCCTGTATGGCTGTATCAGATGTAAGTCTCCATTTTGTGAAGAGGCATGACTCAAGCCCCACCCTTCTGCGTGTTATTCTTGTTGTGTTGCTAAGTGCCTGTAGTTGGTTCTGACTCATAGCGACCCTGTATAGGCTTTCCGAGGAGCAGCTGGTGGGCTTGAACCACTGACCTTGTGGCTCAAACTGACCTTGTGGTCCAGCGCATTAACCCGCAGTGCCATCCCTATTAAAATCACCTCTCTTACTTGAGTGGCACCTTTTATCTTACAAGAGAGAAAAAGAGGGACGTTAGCAGAGCAAGGTGGAACCTCAGTACGACCGGGAGGAGCTGGGAATGGGGTCCACTCTTTGGACCGGTTGGCTTTGTGCTGAGAACCGCCTGGGCCTGTGGGAAGACTGAGGCGACACATGATGACCACTGAGGCACCAGGATGCAGATGCTGCAGATGAGCGCCTTTCTCTCGAGCCAGCACTTGGAATTCAGACTCTAGTCTCCTAAACTATAAACAATTAAAGTTCTGTTTGTTTAAGCCACTCTCTTGTAGTATTTCTGTTCTAGCACAGAAAACAACAAAACTTCTGACTAAAAATACATCTTAGCTATCAATTTAATCACCCATTTGGTGTTATTGTCAAGTGCCGTTGGATCGGTTCCGACTCACAGCGACCCTGCATAGGGATTCTGAGGCTGTAAATCTTTATGGGAGTGGAAAGCCTCATCTATCTTCCATGGAGTAGCTGGTGGACTTGAACTGCCAACTTTGTGGTTTGTAGTTCAGTGCCTATTGTACAGTCTCCGCACTTCCATAATCACCTGTACAAGCCAACAAATATTATTTTTAATGATGAAACACTGACAACTTTCCCTCCAAGATTGAGACTCAGAAAAGGATTCCCACTTGTAGTCAACAATGTACTAAAGATTCTAGCCATTGTAATAAGGCAAGAAATATAATTTAGGTTATAAGAATTGGGAACAAATAAAATAACTTCTAAAATTTAATTTAAAAAATTAATAGAATTGATAGTTTATTCAACATACAATTTATAATGTTGTTGTTAAGTGTAGTTGAGTCAGTTCCAATTCATAGCGACCCTGTATAAGGTTTCTGTTCTGAGGCTTTATATCTTTGTGGGAGCAGAAAGCCTCATCTTTCTCCCGCGGAGCAGCTGGCGGTCTCGAACCACAGACCTTGTGGTTTGCAAGACAAGGAAAATAATTTTAGGTTATAAGAACTAGAAATAAAAGTGTCATAATTTTTAATAGAAATTAATTAACATTTTTAACATACAATTTTCAAATCAGAGTAATATTTTGGACTAGGGAATAATAATAAATGCTCCCAAAAGAACGAACTCTGTTTATATAAGAATTATCCTAAAACGTAGCTTCCAGTCTGAACTTGTAGTTTCTATTTCTTTAAAGAAAAAAAAAAAAAGTATTTTTGTTGTTGTTAAGAACATACACCCACCAGAGATGGAAGCAGAGATGAGGGCATGGAGAGACAGAGCAGCTGAGGACTACAGACTCCTGGAAAGAGAAAGACTGTGTGCTGGTGGCCAGGAGGCTGGCTCGCAAAATGTGCCCTATGGTTGTTTAAATTAATATATATTTCTGTGTGTTTTGTGTACATCAAAAAGAAAAAAAGGAATAGAGACAAATACTGCTCACAGATGGTACAGGGAGGGGATTGTAATCATTGCAATGAAACAACAAAAAAAAGATTGAGTGAAAAATCCATGTTCTGTCATGTAAACTATCACTCAATTCACATTAAAAGCTTAAAAAACAAAAACACATAAAGGACAAGTAAGAGTTGTCCCTAAATCGGATGTTCCTAACTTGGAGACTGCCTGCAGATTTCTTTATTTTCTTCTCCCAACAGTCCTGCGAGGTTGGGATTATATTATATTTTGCAGACAGCAAAGTGAACTGCCGCTTACACTTAGAAGGTGAAGACAACATCAACACAGGAAGAGAAAGGGAAGGAAACAAATGGAACACCTCCATCAGCTCTGTGAGCATTTAATCATTGTTTCTTTGAATTATTGGGCCTGGAAGCTCAGAACCACAGTCTCAGGCAAGAGGAGAAGGCAGTCAGAGCCACATCTCCTGCCGCACTGGGCCAAGCCAGCTAAGTCAGGGGAGGGCTGGCAGGCCTATATGCCTAGATGGCCGGCAGTAGGGAGGTTGGAGACAAAGCCAAAAAGCCAGTAAACATGAGCCATTTCAACTCAATGTTGACTCACGGTGGTCCTACAGGGTACAGTAGAGTTGCCCCATAGATTCTAGGCTGTACTTTTACAAAACCACTCATGGGTTTGAACTGCTGACCTTTTAGCTAGCAGGTAAACTTTTAACCATGGCACCACAAGGCCTCCCATGATTGTTGTTGTTAGGTGTCGTCAGGTGTCGTCAAGTCAGTTCCAACTCATAGCAAACTTCCATAGGTTTTGTTTTTTTTTTTAATGTTTTATTGTGAATTATATGATAGTTTACATGCGAGTACCTCAGTTCCATATTCATTCCATTGTATATCATTACATTGCCATGGTTCCAATTCCCTCCATGCATCCTCTTCCCACCAAAGGGCATATCCTAGAAGCCCGTGCTTGACACGCCCCCCTCCCCCCTCAGTCTTCGGCCCACAGTTCCTCTCCCTCTCTGGATCCAAAGTCCCCAGCTGCTTCATCCCTCCATGTCATCATCTCTGTCTTCATCTCAGGCATCCTCAGTTCTCTGGGTGGGGTCCC